GTAAGCTGATGTTGGCAATGCTGGGTTGGCACTATCAAGTAACTATATATTACTATTGGGATTTTATTCTTACTTCTGTTATGCTGGGCTGTTTTAGCCATTTGTTTTGATGTCTTTTATGAATGTGTATTTTCATTGGTTATAGGATTTTGCTAGTACATTAAATAAACAAATGATCACTATCTATAGACAAAGACTAATGTGAAGAATTTGCTTTCATATAAAATTAAGACAATTAAAGGATCTATCCAAAGCCAGTAGAGGAAAAAACTGGGTTGGGTTGGGTGGGGTTTGACACCCGTGGTGTAGAGGTTAAAATATCAGGCTAGAAACAGAGACAGTGAATTCTATTTCCACTTCAGGTACAAAGCTAACTGAGCGCTCTTGGACTAGTCATTCTGTCACAGTCCTGGGAAAGAGGCAATAGCAAAACATATGTAAAGTCTTACCCAGAAACCTGCAGGGACTTGTTCAGGCAGTCACCAGGAGTCAAGACTGACTTGAATGCACCAAAATAAAATAAAAAATAAAAAAAATAAAAAATCCCCTCTAACATATATCTTTGTGACTTATACACCAATACATCAGATATACAATGTATTATTAAACCAGTTCCTTGGAAAAGGAAGATATTTTTTTTTACTGAAAACATAGCTTTGCCTTTCCTATGAAATTGTGAAACTTAAGCATATATAAAATAAGTTATCTGTCCAGGATAATGAAAATTTAGTTCTCTATACTGTCATTAATTTATGAGAAAACATTAATGTATTTCATTCAAATGTATTACTTTTTGTTAGGACAATAGGAGAAATCCTGTAATGACAATCACATACATTTAACATTAAAGGAAAATATCTTGGGAAAGAATCGGGAATGTATAATTTCTTTGTTGAAGGACAGCAATTTTAGATTGGATCAATGACAGTTCCATAGGACACAATGCATGTTAATTTGACTATGTACATAAAATGTGATAATCACACAATAATTACATGACATAAATTAATATGTTTACTCTCTTCTAAAGTACTGGAGAATTGAAACATACCAGAATTTACTCATATTTGTGTTGGAGCAGGAAATAATTGTGGATATCCTAGTCATTCTTATTCGTCTCAGATCATGAAAAAGAAGTTTTCCCCTAGGGACATCAGTGCTGTCTAAATTGAGGTTGGTGAATACACTCTGTTTCCCGCCCCTTTATTTCACTTTTTCCCTATGTTGCTATTGGAAAAAGCAGAAATGAAAACAACAACCACTGAAGTGGAGGACTTAGTCCTCCTGTTCACAACTTTTTTCTAGTCAAAGTTATTGGAAGGGGCTGTCAACCCTCTAGTAAGTAGTTCATACAATATGGGGAATTGATTTTTTAGCCCAGGTATGTTTGGAGTTAAATTTAGTCCACTCAGGTTTAAATGCTTGATCAATTCCATCAGGGAGTTTATTTGAGATGCTTATTTAACCTTCTCTTATCCACATCATGTGAATAATGTTACAATACTTCAATATCTAGTTGACTTTATGACTGTGGTGAAGTATTTTTCATAAAGATAGTATCTTACAGTATAGTCATAAAAATCAGTATAAACATTTGAAATAAACATGTTCATGTTTATAGGGAAATTGTGGCAAAAATTGAGAATGTCAGTTATTACTATTTATGTAGACGTTCAACACACAGAGAGTTTATTTAGAGTACAAAAGAACTTTCCTAAGAAGGCAACAATTTAAAATTCAGCAAAAGGATAACTGGGGTGGGGGCTCACAAAAAACAGAAGTAAAAGCAGGGAGGAAAATGGATTCCTGCTTCAAATTTAAATTTTTTTTGTCTTCTCTTTATTTGTTTAATTGAAACCATCTACTGAGAAATGTGTGATGTACTTCTGTACTCAAAAGAGGCCTTGGTAGGTCTAATAATTATAGGGAAAATTGTTAAATGTTACTCTCAGTAGAAGACACCAAAACAATCATGTATTTTGAGTCAAAATGCTATATTACCAACATATAACAGCTCATTTCCAGTTGTATTATTCATATTTTTGTTTCACTGATATACATTTCATTGTATTCAGTAATACCTTTCTCCAAAGTATTGTTAATGAGAAAATAGGGATCATAACTTTTCAAAAAAATCTTAAAATTTTGTCTAAACAACAGCATAATTTGAATTAATGATGCCAAATTGACACCCTTCACATTGATGTACCATCAGATTGCCATCAGTAGAGCTAATATACAGTATGTAGTGGTTTGGGTTTTATAAAAGCTGATGTCCACTACAACTGGACAACATTAGCCAGGAAAAAAGTAATGTATTTTTTTAGGTCAGTGCAAACATACACTGGTATTAAAGAGTGAGTGGGAGTCCCTTGAAAGCAGAAGAATCCCTCTGATGTAGACATCAAATGATACCTTGATGAATACATTAGTTGAAGAATAATTTATGGGTGAATAAATTATTACTGCATCCCCACAATTCATAAAAAAGACACAGCTCTTTTAATGAGTTGTAGAAAGGTGTTGCATTTGTGCTTCTGCATATTCCAAAACTGCTCTTCTGAATTTAATCAGGGATACTACATAGTCCCATTAGATTGATTTCAGGAATGATGTGGCTACAACTTTCATAATTCCATTACATTGGAAGATGTTTTTCTAAGGTATCATCTGCCATCATTCCTAACCACTGAACGTGGTGTCTAGGAATGATGAAAACTGTAGTTCAAACATACTGACAACATTAAATTGGAAAAGGTTGGCTGTTGGTTAGGCTGCTGTTTAAAAAAGATTTATTTTTGTACATTTCAAACCAACATTCTAATTCAATGAAGCTATCAAGTTTGCTATTAGGGGGAATGATGATTCTGGGATTGCTGTGAGATATAATTTTCTGGATGCATGAACTAAAAATTACTCTGATAGTTCATTGGGAATTGATTAGACATGTTCAGATTCCTAAAAGCTATTTGTTTATACAGATTCCATTCTTAATATTTATGGTATGTTTAATAAATTGTTCATATAGACATACTTTTTACAAGTAGGTGCAAACTGCTCTAGGAATTAGAATTCATATTATTGTATCGGCAGGATACTGGTGATGGAAACATTTCATAAAAAACAGTTTGTACAATGATTTAAACAAGATTTCTATGCAACAAAGGAAAACATTTGCCGGTATTATTGAGAACTAAAGCTACTGCAAAACAGGCTGTGTCACTTTCATTAGTGAAGTTTGAAACCTTACATTTTCATTCCAAGATTTCCCATTTGTGAACATTTGGTAGCTCTGCTCAGATCAGCAAGTTCTTTTGATTAAATCAACATATCACTGCCTCTCATTGAGGCAAGTTTTTAAAAGCTCAAAAGAAATGCAGCAGCCAGGTGAAGGTTTTACAATACAGTATAGGAATGACAGTGAGTTGACTCCTGAAACTTTAAGTGTCAATAGTGGGAATGGTTGCTGGAATTGTGGAAAAAGCAGAATCATCTGATTTACAAAACCTTTTGTACACCCTGAATTCTAAGCCAACATTGGGAGGAAAAAATGGTGATCAAAACAAACATAGCAAGGAAAAAAAAGTTAACAGAGAGCCCCACATATTTTGATATTGACACTACCTCCACACAAGAAATAATGCATAGGAACCCACATTTTATTTCCATCCTTGTCTCAGACACACATAGACATTTAACATTTGAGTATACAGAAGAAATATGGAAATAAAAGCAAATGGTTTAAGTAGCTGAGGAAGAATGCTGAGGAAGCTCTTGTCAATTCTCCTCCTATATGCCCCCATATAAAGTTCTATAATCAAATAATCTTCTCAGACCAAACAAAAAAATAGTAAAATTGCATGCTCATTATTATAACAAAAAAGAGTAATATATGCATGGATTCTAACCTAAACTTTATTTTTTAAAACTGAATAAAATATAAATTTATACAAAAATGGTAACTAATGAAATAATTTTACAAGCCATGCTAATTCCCATAGGTTAACATATTTAATCCCTATTTTACTATCCCAAAATGGCGAAATAGACTATAATGCTACTTATAGAATAGAAATAAACAACTGGGAGATCAGATAGAAAGGACCTAATTATTTTTTTGATGATTTTCAGAAATGCTTAGTATGGAAGAAGTAATAAAAAAAGATACTGCTCCCCTGCTACAATCTGAAACCAAATAGTTTATTCTGATATCAATGCTATGCAAATATCAATTATGATCCTCTTTGGGTTCATCACATGCAGATTAGAGGAATTAATTTGCCATTTTTCCAAAGTGGGTTGCTCAGTATGTCCAATAGGTAACATTGCATCATTATCAGAACTAGGCAGGACTTCTTGATTCCCACCCAAAATGATTGCTAATTCCTACACTCTGCAATTTTTACCAAGACAATGTTGTATTCTCCTACTTTAACACCATCAATTAAAGTAATACAGTAGTGCAGGAAACAAATTTCAGATCACAAACTAATAAGGATGTTATATCTTCTGTAATGTTTTGTTTAAACAAAAATAAGCCCCATTAAGTTTAAATCGAAGCCAGTGCACTGAATTATAATCTCCAATTTATAGTGACCACAGTATGGAGAAATTAAATGGTCCTCTAAGTATTGTTCAAATACAAGCATGGCAAATGGTTATCCTGGCTGGGGATAAAGTGAGCCAAAATCCAGTCACAGGAAGCCACGTGTTAGGGAATCTAATTTCATAAAATTGATTAATTACCTATTCCTGTTGGGATAGATAAATGGAATCCTTGTTTTATCTTCCAAGTATCTGTGCTGGCTTGTTTTATTCTTCATTCATATTATGGCTTTAAACTGTTTTTATTGTGTTGCATACTTTTTTAGAAACTGTTTTGAATGTGTTATTTAAAAAAGAATTGTCCATTTCAAAATGAAGGTCATACCTCCATCAGTATTTCAAATGGCAGATGAAATAGGAAGTTATTAGACGCTACCCTATACTACTTGGCTTACTTTTGTTGGCATGAGTTGCAGTGTGAATGAGTTAAGTGTGTTTTGCTGGCTGAGTCCAGAAGGAGGAGTCTTGCATTAGTCTTCTTGTTTTTTGTTTTAACTCACCCTTCCCAAAGGATGTGTGTGTGTGTGTGTGAAAATTCCGTTATTCTTCAATCTGTTCATCTATAAAGAGACGAATAAGAACAGAATAACAGAGTTGGAAGGGACTTTGGAGGTCTTCTAGTCCATCCGGAAACCCTGCCTACACCATTTCAGATAAATGCTTCTTAAAAAGGAAAATATTTCTTTTTTTAAAAAAGAGCCTGGAACTACTGCTGTAAATTTGACATATCAAGCTGGGTTATCCAAAGGGTCAAATTTGTTTTATACTCCAGACTTTTCTTTCTTTAAAAAGTAGGGAAGATAAAATATGGGGGAGAAAAATCACATACATTTCGTTGTTATTCAAACACTTCATTTCAATCATGACATTTGATTTCAGCTTTCAAGAAAGATTGGGTAATGTGGCAGGGTGAGTTGTGGCAGGTTTCCTCAGCTCTTACACACCTTTACACCCAATACCCCACAGCTCCTTCTCACGGGGCCCCGACCTTTGTTGTCCTTTCAGGCCTTTGGGTGCACAATTCACCACCTCCCCTCATTGACCCCTTAATGAGGCTTCAGGCAAGTCCTCCATCTTTGTTCCGTGCCTCCCCGGGGTCGTCGTCTAGTTGCCAAGGCAGCGTGCCGCCCTCCTCACCTGCTGAGCTATGCTCAAACCCTCCGCTTTATCAACCATTTTCCTCCCTCCGCGCGGTCCGAGTTCGCTCATGTGGACGACGGCGTTCCTCTCTTGGTCGGGTCTTTTCGGACGCCAAGCGCTGACGTAGGATCCCGTCGGGTGAGGGAAGCCTAGGCTTGACAACCGCCGCAGCCATCTTTGTCACGGGCGGCGCTGCCCTTTCTATTTTGGCCGGGCCCCGCTGTGTTCGAGGGGGCGTGGCCACGGCTTGGTTTTCTGGCTATCCCACAGAAACATCAAGATTTGAGAAAGGCGTTTGTAACTCTGCTGGATGTGTTAGCCGATCGTTGATGTTATGTAGCCTTCCCCCCACCTTCTTTTTGCATTTAAGTCGCTTGAAAATAAAACCATTACAAAGCCCATCGGAGTGTGTGCGTGTGCATTTTTGTTATCGTTTTTGTTATTATTTAGTTGGCGTCTCCTCCCGATTCCCCCCAGAGTCCCGTTGGTGGCTCTTAAAATTGGAAAGATTTTAGAGGTCTTGTGGGATATTCTTTTGCCAATTCTTATTGTGGTCGGCTGTCCTTTAAATTGTGGAACACGGGGTAATCATTACGATACATTGTAAGTTTTATATAGCCTGCAAAATAATTTTTCAAATGTGATTAGATCGTGAGAAACATTCCTTTGTGTTGCTCCCAAATACATACATACATACATACATCATTCATATATATATATATATATATATATATATATATATA